ACGGTCCTAGTCCGAGCCACTAACGGTCAGCAGCACCTTCGGCCGTACAGACCCAGCATCCAGCGTCACCATTAGCCGGCAACCTCGAACCGTACAGAACCAGCACCTAACGCTGGCTTCATCATGAAAGACCCGGCAGCGCCAGCTCCATAGAGTCCCGCACCACCGTGCAGACCAGCGCCAAGCAGTCCGAACGTCTGGGCGGCCTCCTTCTCAGCATACGCGCTGTTGGTTAGCGCCACGACGGCGAGGCACACGGCGGCGATCTTGCTACTGCTGAACATGTTGCGCTTGCGTGTTCTTGGACAGCCTTCGAATGCACGAGAGCTGTTTGATGTGAGCTCGAGTGAGGAGAATGGGAAATGAGCTCTGGACGGCGCCACTCGACAACCTTTTCCGTCGGTCCCGCATTGACGGTCGTCTAGATCATGTGTACAAGGCAGGTAGGTGGTATAAGAGAGCACACTGCGTGCGAGGAGTCTACTTGGTATAGACACACAATCGACAGGGACAAGGTCTTTTTGGACGCCATGATGACCAGCATCACACTCGTGATACAGCATGCTGTAGGACATAAGAAAGGTTATTGGGAGTATGCGGAGGCCATATGTACCGGTATGCTTACATTGTAGATTCTTGCAAAGGCCAAACTCTAAGTAACATGTGCCTCCAATGACCGTCACGCAGCTGACACGGTCATGACTGATTTTAACTGGATACGGGCCCAGTGCAGACGGCCGGGAGCTGGTCAATAATACAGCCAGCACGCAAGGGCGCTAGAATCCTCAGCTAAGCTACTCGATGTTTTCTTTTGCTCATGTACTCACAAAAGCAGCAAGTTGCCTTTCTCGAGTGCAACTTCAATATCACAGTTACTAAACATAGTATAATTCGGAATCAAAAAGTGCTCTACGCACCAAACATTCAGCAAATTAAATTGATACGATGCTTACTAACTGCAAGCGACGCATAAAGAAGCAAAACCCGACAGCAATGAGAAACAACAGCACATTTATTTTCTTACTACACGACGGTATTAAAAATTATACACAGATATCGGCAGATCGCCTCTTTGAGCGAGATGAGCTAAGAGCTGATCAACGTAGCCAGGAGAAGTTGTCAACAAGACACTATTCCTCGGCTCACTGCGACCGCAGCATGCGATAACCTGTCTGCTTCGTCGAAGCACCCGTGCCGGCGGTGCCGGTGGTCGTGCTTGCAGTCGTGGTAGTTGCAGTTGCCTTGGCCCCGCCGTTCTGCGACGTAGATGTGCT